ATTCGCTTTGGTAGATAACGTTTTGCCAGAACAGGAGGGAGCTGTCTTGGTATTGTGGACTAAATCTGATTTTTCTTTTTCTGGGTAGGCAGAGTGGCTAAGCAGGGAGAAGATTGTCGTCGTGGGCGATTTTAGGGTATTCGATTATAAGACTTTGAAACTTACAAGAGGAAGTTTTGTAGGCGAAGTCGTCTGTTTATAGATACTTCGGTGGTTGTAGTTATCGTATTGTTGTAAGTAAGGTCCTGGGACAACCGGCTCCGTGTTTTTGGTCAACTAACGCGTCTGAGGATTTCCGGTTTATAACTCAATTTCTTTTTTTTTTTTCAGGTTTACCGTTTCGGCTTCTTGAGCACTTCAAGTCTTTTCGAGTGTTGACGACGAATGTATCCTGCTAAGTTTGAGGTCGCAGTCTTTTAGACGGTTACACGACGGACTTCTGCTGAGTTTCAAGAAATTGATTTTACTCAACAGCTTTGATGTTAATTTTTAGAGCTATGTTTAGGACTCGTTAAAATATTCTAAATGTGCATCTTCTCTTCCTTTCACGGCATAGTGCATTTTTTTAATCTTAGAATTACTTCCAAATTATTAAGAGTTAGATTTGAAGTTTTAATTGGCAAAAGTAATTGTAGATTTACTTGTTTTCAAGCACAGTGAAAGTAGGATACTCTGGGCTTTACAGGTGAAACCCGGAAGCAAACGGAGTTGGTGCAAGGTTTATCAAATTTCACCACAAGAAGTCAGTGATAGAATTTATGCATTCTTTATTTTAATTGCTACGGTAATTTTGGTTATGAAAATCTTTTATGACTTTATTGTAAAATCGGCAACAACAAACTTTACCATACCAACTTGTGGCTCTCACAGCAGTTTTAGATACAGTTGCGAAACGAGCTTGACAGGCCATCCAGTTTGAGGGCTGTAGCGTACCGCTGGTTTAGATGGTTCGGAATAGACGAAGCCGTTAGCCCTGGATATATTGTTGTAAATCTGTTGAAGTAGGTTACTGATGGTCGAGTAACTAAACAGATTAAAAAAATTATTTTGCATAAAATAGACATGAGTAAATTAAGTCGTAAACAGTCTCACGTGAATAATACAGTAGCACACACAACTTATCTATTTCACGAAAAAAAGTGAACGAGATAAAGGGGAGCACAAACTATAAGGGCACTTTAACGGAGACTACGAAATTGTCTTTAATGTCGGTGCTAACGCCAGAAACAGGTCAGCTTTCGGATTAACAGCAGAAAAAATAAATAGATAAAGCGTTATTCTCTCGCTCATTGATTGACTAAGAAGTGTCTGGGATAACATTGGGTATCAGTTGTCTCTCTATATTCTGTTGTATTTTCCCCTGAAACATGTGTATTTTTGCAAGGATGCTAGCAAACTTATGTTTTCACTAAATTATTTCTTTTTAAGTTCACTGACTTCTGACTGGCAGTTGATGCCAAAAATTTTTTTTGTATCATTAATTGTTTCTTGGGAAATTCTCAAACATATGCTTTTGGTTTTGTGGGGGAATAACTTTGGTGTTGAACATTGGCCTTACGTCTCAAACGGAGTCATGGAGACCGACGAGAATCGCTTTAAAGTTCCCAAAAAGTTTTCTTTTGAGCTTTTTGTTTTTTATTTTTTTATTTTAATTTATTAATTTTTTTAAAACGCAATGTAGTATTCCAGTAGCGGTAAGAACTGGATCTAAATATTTGGAATGAATGAAGATCTGAACTGTAATAATTTTATTTCTTTTTTTATTCGGCACTAACCGCACTTTAAAACTCTGAAGTTTGCGACTCATCATTTTATTTCTCAGTGTGTTATTTCTACGGCTTATGCATTTAAATTATATATCAGCGCATAAACAGCGCTTGTAATCGGTAAATATCAGCGGTGCTGAGCATTCCTTTCATAATAACGATTTCGAAGCGGATCACATATTGTCTTGCTTTGGCATATACTGTTTTTTTTTAATCCTACGGTTTAAAGATTGGCTCATATGGGAATGGTGATGGCAACTGAACACAGGGTTTTGAAGGCTGTTGTAATAAATTCCTCAGAACCACCATCTTTTTTGGCTCGTCCAAAAGATGTGAATTTCAAGAAGTTTTTTACTTTAATAGACAGCGTAGTCGAGCTGTGCACTTTACTTCGCTGGTTTAGGCACTAAACAGTTATGTGTGGTTAAGGTAGGCCAAACATAAGGAATTGAATCTTACGTTGGGATGAACTTTAAAGTTGCTTATTTGCTTATTGAACAAAAAATTTGTGAACATTTTTTTACTCAACTGACGTCAACAAAACCGGCCAGTGTAAGAAAAAGTTTTTTTTTCTTTTTTTGAAAGGCTTTTGCTTTTCTTCCTCTCATTATGTTGGAACGTAAAGAACTTTTAAAACTTACTTTACTAATACTGATCTTGAACGATTGTATGTTTCAAGGTCGCTCTTAATTCGTGGAGTGAAAGGCTTTTTTTTGGAACTGATTTGGTAAAAATTTTTGTGCGATGCAAATGCCTGTTTCCGCGTAGACATACTGTATGATATAACTGTGTATTTATACTCTCTCGACATTTTTGGGGATAGCTACAACTGGTGTTACTGTATGAAAATTTGAATACGCTTATAAAATTTACATTTTAGAAAGATGAGGTGATTTTCTAGGCAATCGCGTTATTTATAAATTTTTTTGCAGAAGAGCTGAAATAAAGTACAGCCTGGTAAACCAATTTTATCTCTCTTACATTTTTTAACAGCAACAAAGTGTCATTTTCCGTGTTACCTCCAAGTATAGCGAAGCTGTTAACTCGCAGACTAAAATTTTCTGTAGTATCTTTTTTTTTCTGGGGGGGGGGGGAAAAAAAAAAAAAGAAAACAGTTCTTTTATTGCCGTTTGCTTAACGCTGCAGAAATTTGCCGAATATTTAACCGAGTGATACACATACATGGACCTCTCTTTTTTACAAATACTCCTTTGAAGGAAAGAATCTTGGATGAAATTATAGAGACATTTTGTAGACAGTTTTTCAAAACAGTCTTTTTCTTGACTTCAAAAAGTTTTATACAAGGAAACAAATGGTTTAAGTCTAATTGAAGCCGATCAGGTAAATCAGATGGCAGCTTACAATTTATACTGACCTCAGCGCCTCTATCACTTCAGTCTGGTAAAACCACTTTAAAAATAATTTTTACCGTAACTTGGAAGTTGGAATTTTGCACCGTTTGTACAGTGATTCACTGTCGAGGCCTGAGAGCACTTGGGGAAAAGATACTAGTCACTAAGGTTGCTTCTTCTACAGTTTTCCAAGATTCTGATAATGTTAATAGCTGTACTCTTTGTAAGCTGTTTACAACAAAAGACAGTTGTTAAAAGTTGTAGAAAATGACCAAACGTTTTTAAGAAAATTTGTCTATCATTTTTGTGTAAAACTTTATCTTTATCATGAATAGTAAGTGGTAATTAGTGATTTTGAGGTAGCCATAGGTTATATATGTCTGCTTTAGCAAAAATGAGTTTCAAGTTTAGTGATTTTTCTCTGATTAGTATTGGAGGTTAACAATGAAAAGCAGTTGTAGAATAAAGTAGTTTTTGAAATTGCATTGCACATTCTTAATTACTCTAATTTTATTATTACTCTAATTTTACTCTAATCTCCGTATTACTCTAATTTTTTTAATTTTCAACCTCTTTAAAAAATACGTTCTCCTTTGCTGATCAAAGGACTGCAAAAATCTTATTTTTCGCTATAGCCTACAGAAGTTTCTCAGGTGGGATTAGAAAGACTGTAATCATTTCTTGGTTAGGTGCTTTTTAATTTTAATTATTATTTTTTTTTTTGTGAAATAACTATTGTCGCCTTTCCTGTCTTCTCCATAATGCCAAATTTTAGTTCTATTAGTGCCAACTACTGTATAAAATCGCTGGGCTGTATTCGCAGAAAGTAATAGTTGATCAAATATTTCCAACTAAAAATATGTACTTTGTGGAACTAGCGACTAATCAAGAATTACCGCTTTAAGGGTATCAGAAACCTGTTACTTGGACTACAAAATAATTGTGAACAAAGTTACTGTTTTTTAAAAAAGACCAACACCAGTCTAAGTTACGGCATCTTTGGCATCGTCACATCAGATGTTGGTTTTCTAAAAGTTTCTAGTCTGCATTAATTAATTATGATTATTTGTAGGTTCATGTTGTTAGTTAACTCGTTGCTCCTGATAATCGGACTACTGTATTCCTCTTCAGCTTATCATAAATATCCCAGAAAAAGAGTGCCAGTCACAGGACATCCAGTTTTATTAGGTTTTGCAACTGAAAATTACTGCGTTTGATTTTTGTTGTACACAAATAAATGCACAACTTGTATTGTAGTTTAGCGTAAATTTTTTTATAAATATGGCTAGAATAATTTTTTAAAAGTTCTATTAAAAAAAGTACAAGGTTAGGTTCTTACTAAATATATCTAGTGAAGTTTTGTTCACTTTACATATGTTGAGGTATTTTGTAAAAATATTTTATATAACAAAGTTGTTGTAGGTTCAACGGTATAATGGCAGTGGTGTTTTATTTTCAGTACCTGGTGATGGAGGATCCCGAATTGAAGCAAATCTCACTGGAAAACCATATGTTGTACATTACACTTGTTCAAAAAAGACCAAAAATTATTTCGATTTATGGCTAAACCTTGAATGTTTCATACCTATAGCTCTAGACTGCTGGGCAGATAATATGAGGTTACTGTTCATGCTATATAGTGCAAAGGCACAAGCGTCAAGTGGCGTAGATTGAAAACTTCAGATAGCAGATTTGCTATTTAGATTGGTTTTCAATCTAACAGATGGAAGCACATCAAATATGCCTGGTGTTGACATCCGTATTCCTGGATTTGGAAGTACGGAGAGCATTGAATGGCTTGATAAGTCAAAAACTAGTATCGGCAGATATTTTACCGATATCGTTAAAGCCTTAGTGTCTCTTGGCTATAGGCGTGGTAAAGATATCGTTGGAGCGCCTTTCGACTGGAGAAAAGCACCCAGTCCGTACATGCTTATTTGACTATTACATCTTTCTTTGAGCGTTTATTCAATTTTTCGTCGAAAACTTTTCTTTTCTGTTCTCAGACGAACTTACGAATTACTATGAAGCTCTGAGAAAATTAATTGAAAGGACATATCGTTACAACGGGAATAAACGTGTAGTGGTGATTGGACACAGCATGGGAAATCCAGTGCTGCTTTACTTTTATCAAAATGTTATTACACAGGTTAATTTGGTATTAAAAATCACATCGAAAACGTCAATTTTGAAAAAATTTCTCTCTCTCCACATTTCTCTTAAAACATTTTGAGCTTTTACTTGAACCGCACACTGGCGTATCTCACTTCACTTAAGGCTTGGAAAGACAAATTCATACATTCTCATATATCAATATCAGGAGCTTGGGGTGGTTCAATGCAGATATTCAGACTGTTCGCATCAGGCGAGACCTATATTTCAATTTTTCACCACCCTTTCTATTACTTCATTGCTCATGCTTAATATTTAACGTTTAATATGTTTAAAAAAAGCGGCGTCATTTCAGGGTATAATATGAACCTCTACAGAGTTATCCTTCCGCCTAGTAAACTACGAGACATGCAGCGTTCATTTACTAGTTCAGCGTTCCTCTTTCCCAGCTACAACGTATGGAACAAAAGTGAAGTAGGTTCCATTCTCCGACAACAGATCAGGAGGTTAAGTGGAATTAATTTAAGATAGAAAGTTTCAACAGTGGGATTAAAAAACGAAGATTGGAACAAAATTTCAAGCAAAGAAATCCAGTTATCATAATTTTGATTGAAAGTTTTCTGTATCAGTAAATGGAGAAGAACCCAACACTTAGATACGACGCATTTTTAGTGAGTTCATCAACGTGAACAATAAAGCATACGGTAACCAAAAATCTAAAACCAGTTAACTGTTCTTATATTTTCACAATTACAACTACAGGCGGACAACTTGCCTTCGAACCATTAATCATATTAATCAGCCATTACTTTAGGTGATAGGAGGAAGCGTTTTCAAGAACTATACGCTGGGAAACGTTGAGGAATTCTTCCATGACATCAATTATACAAATGGCTACAAGCAATACCAGCTAACAGGCTTCCTGCTTGGAAATTTAGATCCGCCTAAAGTGACTGTTAGTTTGTTCTACACTAACTTTTTATTCCTTTTCCAACTATATGATTACTTCTACTTGGTATTTCATCAGGTTCACTGTATCTACGGGTACGATGTTGACACCCCTGAAAGATTCTTTTGGGCTAAAGGATACTTTCCCGATTATCAACCGTCAACGATATATGGGGATGGCGACGGCACAGTGAACAGGCGATCCCTCGAAGCTTGTGCGAAGTGGATGGGAAATAACGGTGACAAAAACGTAAGCTTTCCAGAATTCTAACGTCATAGACTGCTTCTAGCTGGCCTATCAATTCAGTCCTTAGTCAGTTATAAAACTTGAGGAACAAGTACTTTCATCTACTCTACTTGACATAATCGATGTTGATTTTGCGTTTATCCTACTAATTCACTTTACACTGAACAGAGAGGAATTCTCAAAAAACCCACTTCAATTTCAGGTCACTTTATACCCCATCCAAGGTGCTGACCATATGGGAATAATGGAGAATAGTCAGGCAATTGACATTATAAAAAAAGTTGTTTTTGATCTAGTTGCATAAATTATCTATGGTTAGTTCTGTAAAAGTTCTGCCGCAGACGAATCTACGTCATTCAGTATCGAGACCTGAACCCTGGCGACCGATGCAAAAAACATCTCATATACCATATATGCTTGCAGATCTGTTCAGCTGTTTAGATTTTGCAAAAGTTTAATATAAGTTCAACGAATGCCTGTTCTGAAAAAAATCAAGATATTAGCAATCTTCTACCGCCAACTAGTTATATTGACTCGTGAAAACCATAACGTATTTTTCAAAACCTACGAAGAATAAACTTCGCAATAATTTGACACTTTTCTTCTTGACTCACTAACCTAAAAAGAAGATGAATCGAGGCGTAAAAAAAGGCCTGCCTAATGGTGTTGATACAAAATCTGACATATCGTTTTTCCCGAGCAGCATATTGCTGCGAATCATACTGACGAATTCCATAAAAATCTTTTGAAAACTAGGAGACGACCTAACATCCTTAAGAGTCAAGCGAGAAATGAAATTTTTTTAGGGGAGATTTAGCCTTCCTGACTCGGCATAATTCCAGTTGTACAAACAAAACTTGTCATGTGACTTGTTCTTTGGAGAGCCTGTAATACGAAAGTCTGATGAGAAAGTGTAGGTGCGGGTACAATGAGACTGTAATTGGAAGGGAAGAGCGTCACTCCTGCATTTTGCACTGCCAACACTATTGACTGTGGTTAACAGCAAACAGTTTTCCACTGGTCTAACAATTTTCAAAAAACCATTTTTATGAATAATGCCCTTTCGTTTAGCGTTCACCTTTTTTGAACCGTTTTTTTTTTTTTTTTTTTACCTCATAAATGTCAGCTTTTAGCAAACGGGGTGTTTTCAGTTTGAAAACAACCTCAATATTAGGATACACGAATTACTGCTTGATTACTTTGACATTTGATAATAATTCATAAATTTATAGTCAGTGTTATTACAGTTGTATTTCTGAATGTAAACTCAAATGAAAAGGAAACTGCCTTTAGTAAAAGTCGAAAGTATGAAATAAGCGAGTGATGATATTAAAAGGCATTTTCTCAAAGGAAATTCATTTCTGACCTTGTTCCTAAAGGTAACAACGTGTTTTTTAAATCTCATCTACCTCTTCCACTGCTAATTACTGCCATGTGACTTCATCAGTTTCGAATCATTTCTTTCCTGGTGTTCACTACATTGCTTCGCTAAAGCAAAGTGATTAATCGATCACCAACAAAGTGTATGTTTCAGTCTCTTCCACATCATTACTGCTGTCTGTTCACCATCAAAACCCTTGAATCTGAAAAGTCCAAACTGTAAAATGCTTCTGACAATATCGCTCTTATTGCATTAAAGCTGCTGTTATGGTTTTAGCAACGATTTAAAACCATTTAGCAGTTATATCTGTACATTTCAAGGACACTTTACCTTAGCAATCACTTTTCAAACAAAGCCAATGCTACAGATAAGTAGTTTAGTTATATCAATAAAACTACCTATATAATACAATAGACAAAGTTATGTCGTCGAAGCAGTAATAACTTCTTTTCGTTTAAAACTTCTGCGAAATTCGACATTTTCCCGTCGGAAAAATATTCTCAGCATTTTCAAAACAAAGGTACAGGTAATTTAAAAAAAAAATCTTTTTTCATTCCACAGTTCAACTGTTTAACAAATATAATCTCTGTTGACAAGACAGTTGTAACGCATTTCCAAAAAGTTCACCTCTCACCAAGGATCAAAACCACCACTATTTTACACTTTTCACGTGTTTCAGTATAAACTAACCGAAGTTGTTTAGCCATTTTGAGGACCAATCGAAAACAGCAGCGAAACACCATTGCTGACTTTGTGTTGCCTGCGGTGCATTAAAACTAGGCTCGCTAGGTAGTACCGACTATTCGAACTAACGCCACAGTACAACAGATGAATTAAAAGTCATGCATTTTAGAAGAAAAAAAAACACTGAGTATTTTAGAATTGATTATCGCAATTAAATCTATGGATTTTAAATTCGTTTGCCCCCAAACATCGATTAATTCGGGAATTACTTTAATGGCCTGTAATATATGTGCGGTTAAGTTGAACCAACATCAAGTCCCGATATATTCACGTGATGGTAATATGAAAACAGTTTTACACACCAAATCATCACTGCTGCCAACCAGCCAATTCAGGTGCAGTTCATTATAGGAAAAACAAAAACAAAAACTGGCTAAAATTTTTTTACAGCAGCAACAAACTTCAACGGGAAACAGAAGTCGAAAATTATAAGGATTCACCAACCGACCAAAAAAAAAAAAAAAAAGCATTCAAAAGGGCACAGTAAAATGTGTAGAAACATTGGAAATAGCTTTTAGGACACCGAACAATATAACCAAACAAATATTCGAAAACTAACAACCAGCGGAAGCAATCTGCATCGAAAACTAAGCGCAACCTCGGATAGCCGATCGCCCTCCTCATCGCAGCAGACAGCTTCCGCTACGACAAACAAACACAAATACACACAGACGGGGAGCAAGAGGGAGGCAGACACAGACAGGAATACACACAAACACAAGCACGGAACCCGACTAGCGGGGCGTTTTTCTGCCGGCGGACATCTTCGTTCGTTGCGGTACGGACTGAACGGAACCAATGCTCTATATAAACAGCTGTATTGATTTTGTCTTAATTATGTGTACGGTTTCACGGAGTAAAAGAGTTTCCCTAAAGCTCAGCACCTGTTCTTTGGTTTTAGATTGTCCATCTGGTAGTTCATGAGTTTTTTGAGGTCGCGTTTTTGCCGTATGAATATGTGACAGATCTGTGCGGCCAGCAAAATGCTGCTGTCTACGGTTAACCGAACTCATCAAATTATCATCTGGCACAGCGGCAATGTTTTTGGTTGTTTTATTTTTGTAGACACTACGGTGACGTTGTCATGTTGATGCGGTGAAGTTGTCAGCGTCAGCTGAAGGCGGGCAGTGTTTGATTAGTGTTGTATGATAAGTAATAATTTATTGCTTCTGTGTTCAGTTGGACTGCAACTGACCTGTGATTTTAGGGGGCAGTTTTGGTTTTCCAGAGTAATGCATTATTGTTTTCTCTTTATTTCTTTTGTTCTGATAATTTTTAGGTTTTTTTAAAATAAGTTATATATATATATATATATATATATATATATA